CGAGCACCACTTCCCAGTATGCACTCCTTGTCTCAACGATAAACGGGTTGCCACACATGTCGGGTACAAACGAGAGCCGAGGTCTCGTGACTCGCTTAAAAGCACACTCTCTGCTCTCCATACGAGTCCGTGAAGAGGAGGGGTGTTTAGGGGATGGAAGGTAGAAAAAGATGATCGAGACTATATAAAGTTATCCGAACCCCAAACACATCCTCAAATGGCACTCCGGACTGAGAGAAGAGCTCTTCAACAGCTCAGCTCAAATACTATGCCCGGCTCTCATGTGAGAACCTCAATTTTTCAAAAGATTTTTTTCAAAGGTGAGCACATTTTTTAAATGTTTTTTAGTCCAAAATTAGTGGATGCACATTTCACCTTGTAAAGCTCGGCCTTTCGGAGTATGCAAGAATCCTGGGGGATAAATCCCCATTGCCTTAGGGAACTAATTGAAGCTCATTGCTCTTGTCCCCCCCCCCCCCTTCCTCATTACTCGGTTGATGGTGAGAATTGAACTCTTAACCGTTGAGAGAAACTCAAGAAGTGGCTCGACATAAATCTTCTCATTGGAATCTCAGATGAGAGATTGAATTGGATCGGCAACTTCCAACTCTTTGTGGACCTCCCATTCAAAATAATGATGCTCACCATAACTTCGGGTGGCAAAATGATTATATTCCACATTTACCTTCCCTTCTAACAAGAGATATGAGTGATGAGATCTTTGCCCACCCTTAACTGAGGCGGAAGACTCTGCGACCTTCTTTGTCTGACCCAATCCTATAGAGAGAGCTAAGCACAAATTTCAAACGTTCGGTGATAGATGGGTAAGGTAAAATAGACTCATATAAGGGCTTTGAACATTAAAGAGGGATGGCCGTGACGAGCAAAGCATACAAATTTTAATAGCAAGTGGAAAGTGAAATAAGAGCATGCAATGGAGGCAAATGGTTCATTCAAGCATTTCATCAAACACCTCGCGAGTGCGAAAATGAGACTTGAAATTAACATGGGAATGAGGTATAAGGTTACTTCTTAAAAGAATTTTCACATCCCCGATCACAATAAACTATTAAATTAAGAATTAGAAGAGTTTAAATAAAGAATCATCCATAGCAAGGGAGCACATTCAAGTCATGACAAGGGAGATATTCAAGATTACAAAGTTTATGATCTCTTCTTAGAAGTTAAGAAGATCTTGCTAACCTCAAATGTAATCAGATTGAAACAAAGTGCGAAGTGATCTCTTAATGCATGAATTATGCACTTGGTAGCATGCTAAGGTTTGGGATAAGGAAAAGTAGTGGAGAGATATCATGCTCAACTAAGAGTTGGAAGTTGAGGGACAAGAAAGAATGAACAAACTAGTCAAGACTGGGTATTTAAAACCTTATGGCGGTTAAGATTGCGAGCTAGCCCCGCTAGATCGCGGTCGTGAACTTAACCTCCTTAACCGCGATCTTTGACTGCCCTGAACGTCAACTTCTAAGAATTCGACAAATGAAGATAAGTTAGTTTTGAAATAGAAAAAATAAGAATGTGAGATAAATCTCTTGGGACTACAATTTCTAATTTTTTTTGTCATTTCCAAATGCGATTTTTCTGCACAAATCCCACATTATGTAAAATTGTACTGAAATCTCTCATTGCAATCCCATTCAAAATTCAAAATGTAACATCTTAAATATAATTGTCCAACTCTGAGCACAAATAAAACAAATCAACACATTTGTCAACAGCCCCAAAACCACCCTTACTGTACCCTAATTAACCTGCATAGAGAGACAAATTTCGAGATTTAGGAGATGGTGAAGAGTTGACTTATCTAGAACAAGCAATCAAAGTGAATGCAAGGCAACAATTTCTTCTTCACACACTAGATTTAAACTCAGCTCATTGGCCGGATGCATTATTTCAAAAGTAAAATAGTCAGACTATCAAATTAGTGAAAATATAAAAACGTAACAAACATCATAATATTTTTTGATATGCTAATTGGTTCATCAAGAAAAGTACCATGCATGTTGGATGGACATATTATCTCAAACACTTAAGCAACAATTGTAATTGTACTAAGCAAGATATATTTTTATTGATATCAAAAGTCAAAAGATTTGAACTATTCAATTAATGGAAAAATAAAAAAGGAACATACTTCATAAAGTTTTATATTATGCTAACCGGTTTATCAACGAAAGTTCTTACTAAAAATAAAAAATAGAACTAATGGAAGGGGACTAACTCTTAAAAAACTTAATCAAACCACATTCAATTTACTTCTTGAGTAGAAATTACTATAATTTTTCTCATGGACTTCTTTTCTATTGCTTCACCATATGTATAATCATCTCTGTCAATAATTATAGTTTCATATTCATCACTAAATCATTTCTATCCATCACCAATAGCCTATCTCTTCTTCTCAACAATCTCACTACTCACTATCGCTATTTTCGAATTCACTACCTCCATCAACCGAATTTTTCTTCTTCACCTTCATTTCATTGAAATTTTACTTAAGCGTAAAACTAAGATGTTTGCAAATACGGAACCTTTATCAATTAAAGATTCTTAATTGGCTATTAACCCAATAGTTTAAAATCACACACATTTAGTTTTCAAACTAAAGATTATAATTATTTGAAGTGGACATATTTATTATTAATGAATAAAAATCCTACCACTACATATATAAATAATGTGTAGACATATTTATTTGATTGAGAAGTCTAAAAATATTTGAACATATTTATTATTAATGAATAAAAATCCTACCACTAAACGTACAAATAATGTATAGACATATTTATTTGATTTAGAAGTCTAAAAATGCTTTATTTTTTATTGGCCAAATACACTTGTGTAGCCAAAACTTTGACGGTTTTGCCAAATATAGCCAATTTTGGGGAAATACCAAAAATAGCCAGAATTTTGAAAGTTTGATGACAATTATAGCCATTTCCGTTACATAGTTTGACGGCATCAGTGACACCATTAGTCTAATTAACGGAACGATGATCTGACTGCCAACTCACCGGACACATCATCGACAACTCACCAACACTTGCCACAAGTATGCCATGTCATATTTTAATTTAAAAATAAATAAAAAATCATTATATGAAAAATCATAAAAAAACAATAATTAAATTATTCCCTCCATCTTCGTTGCCCACCCCAATCACTACGACTACCAAATTCTCACCAACATCAGCACCGCCAATGTTGGGATCGGATTTCCGACGTCTCCACTGAACTGCTCGTCATCCTTCAACCTTTACCCCTAAACGGAGATAGATGGGGCATAACAATTTCCCCCTTATTCCAACCTTCATCCCCTCTTCTACAAAAATCCCCAATTCAAAAACCCTAGACCCGCCGAGAACAACCCCAATCCGCCGGCGCGACCATGACAAAAATAAAATATGCACTTAGCTAGCTAGGAATTCAGCCTTTTCAAAAACAGAATACAAACTTAGCTAGGACTTTAGTTAAGCCAAAAACAAAATTAGCTAGGACTTTAGTTCTGCGCTTTTTTAAAATGAAAATTTAAATATGGATTAAAAACCCGACAAATGGCAAATATGAGGAATCAAACACGTGACCAAGTAGAATCGCAATTACTCCCCATCCGCTAGACTGTCATGAAATTTTTGGTACGTTATTGCGTACCTAACTATTACTATTAGTTTTTCGGTTTATACAAAATTTTCAAGACGCTCGTGAATTTTACATTTAACTTCCAAAATTCCCGGGGACTGGGCCCCCCGAGAGCCTACCTAGCTCCGCCCCAGCTATTCCTCCATATACACGGCTCACACAGCTAAACAAATATATACATATATTACAAAATGATACCCAAAGTTATCACTTTTAATAGAGGCCTGCGAGCAAAACATCTTTCGGTTGGCCTTGATGGTTATTTGTGCATGGGTTAGTACGTAGGTAAGGTAACTAAGTCACTTGGGGCGAGTAGTAGTTCAATTAGGAGTCTTTCTACGTACATTGCATGGCCGGTCGGCTAGGGTAGTGTAGGGTTTCGGGTTAGCTATGTTACTTATTATGTTTTATATATAGTCTATATATTGTAGCTACGGTATTAGTCCAATTCATAAAAAATCAATAAACAAAAGATTTTTGGCACTTAGGTCAGTGTTATTGGTTGTGAGTTACAAGCAAGAACTCTTCAAACGTGATATACGGATCATTAGAGGAATTGGTCTTATTTGATTCTCCGGGTTCTGTTACGGCCGCTGCATTAATGCAAGAGAGAGATGGTTGGTTTTAAAAAATAAAAACCAATTATTGATTTAAAAAATAAAAACCTAACCAGCAGCTCTATGGTTGGTTTTAGGGTTTACGTTAAGTTTTTATTTAATTATGAAAATATGTTAAATTTTAAATAAATAAAATACACAATTTACCTCAATACCCTTAACCAATTATCAACTAATAACTACTAATTAACCACCCAATCTACTAACAACCAATAGGATTAGTTTAAGCATATGCTTAAGCTTTTGGGCTTAAGCACAGGAACCCAGACCGTAATTAAGGGGTTTCATATGCAGTTTGGTTTAGATTTATAAGGGTGGGTTGTTGGGCGGGATTGTAAGAAACGGATTCAGACCGGGTGAGGTGATTAAGTTGCCAACAAGGCAAGTTGAGGGGCATGACAAGATTAATGGTTTTAATCATAGACAAAGTTAACGGAAACATGACCAAAATTAGACACCAACCATTTTTCTTGTTACAGATCCACAAATTTTTAGTAATGATTTCCGGACATTTGAAATCTAGTAACGCTTTGTTACATTTGATATAGTGTAGGAACGTGGAAGAATTAACCTGGATAGATGTTGATGCATATTCTCTTTCCATTCGCCTATCTTGAGATTAATTCTGTTGTTTTGTTTCTTACCTTTACCTTCATTTTCCCTATATTTTCGCTTCTTCTCCGTGACTGCATCTATATATATATATGATCAAGCTTAAGCCCTTAATAGCATAGTAATATAACAACTTGTTCCTTCCCCGTTCATGTTCCCCTTACAGATTGATTATGACCGGGAATTACAATCACAAAAATGAAAATCTTATTGCCTTCCTGGAGGAGGGTATAATCATGAACATTCTTCTGAGATTACCAACTGCTGTGTGTATTGCTCGTTTTCGTTGCGTTTGTAGATCATGGCGGATTCTCCTTTCAGATCCCCAATTCATCTACAAAATCATATTTTTCCAAAATCTAAGTGATCTAAAAACTCTTCGGATCCTATTCACGGGGGCTGAAGAAGAAGCCTTTGCTGATTCACATGTCATCTATTACTCCTTGCACTCCTACGACACCCTTCGCCCCATTTCTGCAGGCAGTAATATTGTTAGGGAAATGCCCTCCTTCCCCTACAAGCCTCGCCATTCTTCTACAATGTTCAGCCCAAGGATCATTGGGTGTTGCGATGGCATATTTTGTATTAACGAATGGGTTGACAACAATATGACAGATATCATTCTCTGGAATCCGGAAACTTGTGAGATCAAGTGCCTACCGGTTTGTCTTTCCCTTTGTCCTTTCCCTAATGGTCTTGAAATTGCGGAAGAGATCATCGGCTTTGGTTTCGATCCTCAAACAACCGACTACAAAGTTGTTCGGAGCGTGAGGTTTGTGCCCTACATTGAAACATACAATGATTGTGGAGGTATTCGTACTGAGAGATCTTATAAAGTCAATGATCCACCGTTTACTTATACAGAGGTGATATATTTTGAATGTTGCTATGTGAATCCATATGATCTTTTTGTTTATGTATGTGCTTCAAATTTCAAATTTCTCGTGTAATCTCAGGTATACAGCCTCAAGAACGATTCGTGGAAGAGAGTACCTGATGCATCTGAGGACATTATGTTTATGAAATACATTCCTCAACGGGATGCATCTCGAAATGAGAGATGTTACTGGTTCCTGAGAAATAAACCAAATTGTAGAATCGTTTCTTTCGACATGAGTAAGGAAGTCTTTGAAGTTACAAAACCTGAACCCAGCCTGCCTTACCCAGTTTCACGTGATTCTTGGTTCACTACCGAATCGTGTTATATGTTGAAGGAGTCATTCGTGGCGACTCTAGCATATAAGGGTCGTTATGATGTGCCGATGGAGGTATGGGCATTGTTGAAGTATGGCATTGTTGAATCATGGACTAAATTATTCACCTTCCAACCACCTTTCAAGATCAGTTTTTACTTGGAAGTATGGAAAGAGGGAACACATATTTGCTCCCCGCAAGTTAACAGAATGGTTAGTGAAGATGATTATGTGATAGATTATGATGGAGTGTATATTTTTAATCCTACAACACAAGAAATTGGCGACCGTCTAGACATGCAAGGGAGAACTTGGCCATGTGAAGCTCATACATACACTCCAACTCTGGTTACATTGTCGGATCGATAGTAGGGTTTATACTGCCGTAATTTGTGATTTTGTTAAGCAATAAATGTGTTATGTTTCCTTTTTGTTGACAAAAAAATGTTTTAATTTGATAATCTATCATATGAAGTGATCAACCATATCTTATTTATTCTTAACTTCAAACCAAATATGGATGTTCCTTTTTTTGACAAACTTTTACTCCTCGAAAGCTAAAAATCCTCAATTACTTTAAACAAACATAACTTTGTGCTCCAAAATCCGAACGTCATGAACTTTTTTTTGTTTTGCATAACTTTTTGAGGACTACAATATTATTCAAAATCAACTTAGTGCTCTTTGTTGTCAAAGGACCAAGCACTTCTTCATCTGGGTCATGGTTTTTGAACGTGGAATCTGCGTCAGATGTTGAGCTAGACGACACATTTTTTAGGATGTAATCCCACCGGTGCATAAACTAGTTGGGGAAAATAATGAGAGTTTTGTAATCCCAGCAAAAACTCCACGAGTGTCGGTACGTACGGTTTTGCTTGAAGAAGGCATTAATCCAACCTTCATGGTAACTCCAGTAATTGAAGGATTGACAGATTTGCGGATGGTTAAGAACAATAGTTGCAGGGAATTTTAGATTGGTGTTTAGGCTAGTACTCTTCTTGCCTACTCATCTCCTTTCCCCCGCTTCCCTGCTCAAACTCCAAATGCCTCTCCATGGTCCCATCCTCCATTCGAGCCGCCCCGTAGGAAAGGTAGCCACCTCCCCGCTCTATCCGCCAGTCTCCTTTGCCGCACCCAGCCTGCCCGCCTCCTGGTCCGACTGGATTCTCTTCTCTCTTTTAATTGCTTTAGCAACCTCTGTTTCTTATAATGGATGTCTAGCTTTTAAAGGCTTTTAGTTACCTAAAGAAATGGACGCTTTTAGCAGCCTCTGTTTCTTTATAATATTATGCATGTACGGTGTACCTTCCATTTGAGTATGTTGCAAGGGGGTAATCTCTTCTCTGCTCCAATGGAGGATGATGATGAAATTCAGGTCGGGCTTGCTTAAAGAAGGGATGGGACGGGGCAGGACGGGACGAGCTGTATGTTTAGGGGCTTGTTGGTGTTTTATTCAGAGTTAGATTTTATGTATATTGCGTGGATCTTGTTATTCTCCAAGGAAAGAAGAGCGTTCATATTTCTGCAGCTTGCATCAGTAGGAATCTGCGTTTGTTTTTTTTTTTTTTTACAGCACGAGGGTGAAGCCGTGGCTGCAACCGGGGCATTTAGATTCCTTTGAAATGCATTCCCCAAAAATCTTCTTGTTTGATTGTCTAAATGTGCTGATGTATTAAGAGTTTTTCTTGTTTGTTTTGTTTGGTTTGTTTGTACTTTTATGCTTAATTTATCATCAATAAATTGAGATTTCTAGCTACTGGTGAGTGGCGCATTATTGAGCATAATTGCATAACAAAGTCTGCCAAGCTATAATTAGGTGATGATTTGATGAGCCATTGCTAATTAAATATCGAGTTAAATTAGACACGAAAACTGTAAACACTCCTATTCAGTTCAAAATGAAAATCTAGAATAACTACTCGACAAACATTCTTGTGATAAAATGAAATGTTAGATACAACTTCAATACATTCATATAATTTGCCACAACAATCTTTTAACCGACTAGAACTCCAAGTTTTTAATACATTATAGATAATTATAATTTGCAAGATGAACTTAATCTTCAAGTGAACTTAATGTTTTACTTTTTATAATTTTATTAAAAATACATCATTTCAAGTAAATTTTAGTTTTTGAACATCACTTAGAGAAATAAAAAAATGGTTTTGCCTTGGTTTAGAATAAAAAAAATTCATTTTGAAAGACTATATATTATATAATACAGTAATTATTCGGGTCAATCGGGCGAGTTCGGGTTAGTCGGGTTCAGATCAATCGGGTTGTGGGTTAGTCGGGTTCGGGTTAAGCGTGTTCGGGTTTAATTGGGTTGCGGGCCAGTCGGGTTGCAGGTTGATCGGGTTGCGGGTTGATCGGGTTGCGGGTCATTGACTTTTAGTCAGTTCGGGTTGCGGGTCGGGTTAAACTGGCGGGTTACTCGGGTCGGGTTCAATTTTGACACCTATACATACACTAAACCCCGAATAGCTGGCAAAGTAGTGCACAACCTCGTCAAGAATAACCCCCATCCGACTATCTCTAGCATCCGCCCCAATGATTTTGTCAATAATCACCTTCGCATCACCTTCAAACCTCATTTCCGTGAACCCATGGCCAAGACACCATAAAACCGCTTCACGAGAGAACAAGTAACTCCACCACCATGAGTTGTTCCATTCTAATACCGTATAAGTTGTCACAAAATCTCAGAAGAAATTGCAATGCCTACCGATTCTGTGAATGGCAAGCTTCTCATTGAGGATTAACATGATGGTCTTCCATGTAGATTTCCACTACCATTCTCATTCTATAGGTTTTGTAGTTACTGTTGGGGGTGTTATGAGCAAAGCCCAAGTGGGGGGCAAGGCTTAAGCAAACCAGCCCAAATGGGGGGCAAGGCCCAAGTAAAGGAGAGGCCACATGAGGACAAGGCACAAGAGGCCAAAGGAGGCCAGACTGTCATGTGGTCCAGCGTCTGCGGGCGCCTGTCACGTGCCAGGAGTCTGACAAGGCGGTTGGGATGTCTGGCCAGAAAGAGACAAGAGCATTGAATGAAGGCAGGGAGGCAGAGAGGATCAACCTCGAACTCTGGTAAGTATAAATAGGGGCAGCTGGTAGCATTTACGCAGGTTGGACTCTCTCACAAACTCTAGCTTTGAGACACTTCTTTCTTCTGAGAAACTGACTTGGGCGTCGGAGGATTAACGGGCCGAGGCGCCCCCTCCTTGTTCGTGTGTGCAGATCGGCGCCTGGCGTGAGAGGATCCAGGAGAGTCTTGTAAAGGGTATCGGGTCTCAAACAATTGGCGCGCCAGGAAGGGGAATATAGCCAGGAGTCATGAGTGAAGAGGCGCCGATGAATGAGGAAAGGGAAGAAATTACGGAAGAACAGTCAGAGCAAATGAGAGGGCAGACGCCCGAGGAGGAAGAAGGTGAAAGAAGTGAGGACGCGTTGCGGGGATCCGAAGGCGCCTCGGTCACGAAAAAAGAATTGTTTCGAATCATTGAGGATCAAGACGAGGCAATCGAGGCGCTGCGGCGTGAAGTGGACGCCTTAAGAAGGAGTGAAGGGATGACGCCCAGCCCGACGAAGAGAAGAGAAAGGATGGAGGAGACGGAGATTGAATCGGGGTGCCCGAGGCGTCCCGGTCTATGGCGCCCACGTGATCACGGGGCGCCGGACGTTAGTGGATGGAATGGAGGAATATTGGGGCGCCTTTCACGCCACTGCCCTGTGAGGCAGCCTCTGGCGCGTTGCATACTGTCGGAGCCAGCTGGAACCAACATTCCCCCACTCCCAGCCTATGACGGAACTGGAGACCCTGAGGACCACCTTAACGGATATTTCACCAAAATGCAACTCTATAACAGCACAGACGCCACCCTGTGCAAGGTGTTCCCGTCCACCTTCTCGGGCGTGGTTCTCGATTGGTATCATCAGATCGGTGAAGGGCGCATCGACTGCTTCGAACAGTTCACAGCAATGTTCTTGGCGAAGTTTGCCAGCAGAAAAAGGCGTTCCTTGACCATAGGCGCCTTGTTTAAGGTCAAGCAGAAAGAGGGAGAGGCGTTACGGGAATTTTACGAGAGGTGGTTGTCCGTGGCCTTAGCAGTGAAAGACGCCCAGCCGTCGGTGCTAGGGGTGTGTCTGAATGAGTGCACCTCCAGTGAGGAGTTATGCAGGGCGCTTGCAAAGAGAGATGTGGTGTCCACAGAAGACCTGGATTATAGAGTGCAAAAGGTAATTGTGCTGGAAGAGACATTAGCGGCCAGGAGGGCGGATCGGAGGAAGGCACGAGTGGAGGAGGCTGAGGTGCCAAGGAGGCAGTACCCAACGAGTGGCTCGGGCTATGTGCCCACAAACCAGCCCCCGCCCAGGAGGAACGATATGGGGCGCCAGGCGCCTAGAGGGGCTGGGCCCTTCACTGAGTATAACGACACCCTGAAGAATGTGCTTCAACACGTCAAAGAGAAGGGATACCACATCAGGTGGGCAGGGCCGATGCTGGGGCAACCCAACGAGCGGAACTTGGACCGGTACTGCGATTTCCACCGTGAGATTGGGCACTACACGGCTGATTGTTACCAACTCAAGACAGAACTGCAGGGTCTTGCGGACAGAGGAATGCTCAACGACTTCGTCAGAAAACCCGAGGAAAGAGTGCATAGGGCATGTGTGGCTGGAGTGGTGAGAATGGGGGAGGAGCTGCCACCACCACCCTATGACTTGGACCAAGAAAAAGCGCCTGACCGCGTGCGCCTGACGATCGAAACCATCTCAGGGACAATAGATTTGAGGGAGAAGGTAGAAGCGAAGCGTCGGTTGAGGGCGGCGTCGGCAGATGTGCAAGAGTCGATCGACATTAGCTTCAACAAGGCGCCGGAGGAAGCGTGTATGCTCCCGTCCATGGACGCCTTGGAGATACAAGGGGTAATAGCCGGATGCAGGGTAAGGAGGATGCTTGTCGACACGGGAAGCTCCATGGATGTGCTGTTCAAGGATACGGTGGTCCGCATGCAACTATCCCCGGAGATGTTAGACCATCGGAGTCGGTACTAATAGGCTTTGCTGGAGCGCCCGCCAGAGTGATTGAGCGGGTATGCCTGCCCGTCACGTTGGAAGATGGGGAGCAAAGGGTGACGCGCGCCATAGACTTTGGGATAGTGGACTGTCCTTCACCATACAATGCGATCCTTGGGAGGCCGCTCCTGGCTCTGTTTAATGGGGTGGCCTCCACTTGTCACCAGACCTTGAAGTTCATCGCCCCGCAAGGGGTAGGCGTGGCCCGAGGACGAGGCGTCCCGCGTTACGTGAAGAAGATGGGGCGCAAGCGAAGGCATGTGGAGGCAAGAATCAATGTGATGGAAGTGGGGGAAGACGAGGCGCCCCGAGCCGAGGCGGCCGATGAGGACCTTTTGATAGCGTTGGAGGAAGGGCGCCCAGAAAGGTGCGTTAGGATCTCGGCGGAGGCGCCTGCCGAGATGGTGGAGCGACTCATCGCGCTTCTGAAATAATTCGCAGAGCTTTTCGCGTGCAGTGCCATGGAAATGCCGGGCGTCAAACCTGAAACAGCAGTACATAGGTTAGCGGTTGAGGAAGGGAGGCGCCCTGTGCAACAGAAGCGCAGAAACTTATCGCCGGAAAAAGAGGCAGCCCTTAGGGTCGAGGTGGACAAGCTTATGGGCGACTGGAGGATGTGTGTGGATTACACAAGCCTCAACAAGGCGTGCCCAACGGACGCCTACCCAATGCCCCGGATAGACTTGCTGGTGGACTCCACAGCATACCACGAGATGCTGAGCTTCGTTGACATGTTTTCAGGATACCATCAAATCCCCATGGCAGAGGAAGACCGGCCCAAAACAGCTTTCATTACGCCTTTTGGAAACTTTTGCTATCGGGTCATGGCCTTCGGGCTCAAGAACGCGGGCGCCACATACCAAAGGATGGTTAACAATGTCTTTCGGCAGCAAATCGGCCGGAATGTGGAAGCTTATGTGGATGACCTCATTGTCAAGAGCCGGAAACGGGAAGACCACATTGAAGACTTGCGAGAGACATTCCAGGCCATGAGGGCGCATAGGCTCCGGCTGAACCCCCTCAAATGTGTATTCGGCGTCGAAGCGGGAAAATTTCTGGGATTCATGATCACCAAAAGAGGAATAGAGGCCAATCCGAAACAAGTGGATGCGATCCTAAAGCTAACCCCCCCGAAGACGCCCAAAGAAGTGCAAGGCCTGGCGGGCAGGCTGGCAGCATTGGGGCG